ACTTTCAGCATTCTTCACTACCACCATCATTCAAACGCATCAGCTCTTCTTTGGTCTTAATTCATTGTTTAGCTTTTACATGCATACGAGGCTATTGAAAACACCATAATCTTCAGAGAGACTTCTTTGCTCTTCAGCTCTTTAAACAGGTTTTTTTTTTGCAGAAGATTTGCCCAGAGCAATACATCCAATATGTCATCTGATTTCTTGACTGCCTTCTTCCATGGGTGTTGATTGTGGAACCAAGTACTATGAAATCTTTGACAACTTCAATCTTTTCTCCATTTATCATGATGATGCTTATTGGTTCAATTGTGAAGATTTTTGTTTTCTTTATGTTGAAGTGGAATCCATACCGCAGACTATAGTCTTTAATCTTTATCAATAAGTGCTTCAAGTCATCCTCACTTTCAGCAAGCAAAGTTGTGTCATCTGCATATCTCAAGTTGTTAATGAGTCTTCCTCCAATATGTTTTTCTTCATATAGTCCAGCTTCTTGGATTATTTGCTCAGCATACAGGTTGAATAAGTACAGTGAAAGGATACAGCCCTGACGCACTACCTTCCTGATTTTAAACCATGCAGTTTCCCCTTGTTCTGTTGGAATGGAATGACAGCCTCCTGGTCTCTGTACAAGTTCCTCATGAGCACAAGTTAGTGTTCTGGAATTCCCATTCTTCTTACTGTTATCCATAATTTGTTATTATCCACACAATCAAAGCTTTTGCATAGTCAATGAAACACAAGTAAACATCTTTCTGGTATTCTTTACTTTCAGCCAAGATCCTTCTGTCATGAGCAATGATGTCCCTTGTTCCACATCCTGTTCTGAATCCAGTTTGCATTTCTGGCAGTTCCCTGTCAACATACTGCTGGAACTATCTTTGAATTATCTTCAGCAGTTTTACTTGGGTGTGATACTAATGATTTTGTTCAGTAATTTCCGCATTCTGTGAGATCACCTTTCTTTGGAATGGGTAAAAATGTGGATCTCTTCCAGTCAGTTGACCATGTAGCTGTCTTCCAGATTTCTTGGCATAGATGAGTAAGTGCCTCTAGTGCAGCATCCATTTGTTGAAATATCTCAATGGGTATTCTGTCAATTCGTGGGGCCTTGTTTTTCGACCATTCCTTCAGTGCAGCTTCGACTTCTTCGTTCAGTACTGTCAATTCTTGATCATATGCCACCTCCTGAAATGGATGAACATTGACCAGGTCTTTTTGTTACAGTGCCTCTTCTATTCCTTCCATCTTCCTTTGGATGTTTTCTGCATCGTTCAATATTTTGCCCATAGAATCTTTCAATATTGCAACTTGAGGCTTGAATTAATTCTTCAGTTCTTTCAGCTCGAGAAACGCGGAACATTTTCTTCCCTTTTGGTTTCCTAATTCCAGGTCTTTGCACATTTCATTATAATAATTAATTTTGTCTTCTTGAGCTGTTCTTTGAAATCTTTTGTTGAGCTCTCTTGTCATTTCTTCCATCTGCTTTAGGTACACTCCATTCAAGAGCAAGTTTCAGAGTCTCTTCTGACATCCATTTTGGTCTTTTCTTCTTTTCCTGTCTTTTTAATGACCTCTTACTTTCTTCATGGATGATGTTTTTGATGTCATCCCACAATTCCTCTGGTTTCTGGTCATTGGTGTTCAATGCATCAAATCTATTCTTTAGATGGTCTCTAAATTCAGGAGGGATATAATCAAGATCATATTTTGGCTGTCATGGACTTGTCTTCAACTTCAACTTGAACTTGCGTGTGAGCAATTGATGGTCTCTTCCACGGTCAGCTCCTGGCCTTGTTTTGGCTGAAGATATTGAGCTTCTCCATAACCTCTTTGCACAGATGTAGTCAATCTGATTCCTGTGTACTCCATCTGGCAAAGTC